ATCGGGTGGTCAGGCTCGCTGACTTGGTTGACTCATGTCATCGGTTCCCCATTGCGTAGATCGATGCTCATGCTGTTGATCACTGGATTGTCTGGTCCAGACTCGATTATTTACAGACCGCCCACCATATAGCTGGAATAATGCTGCGTGCGGCGTAAAACTAAACTCACTCAGTCACCTACTTAAACATTATTTGTCATCTGGTAGCAGATGCGTATGTAGTGAAAGCTTAGCCAGTGACAGTAATGTTTGAATGAGGTTGGAAAAATACAAATTATATGATAGGGAGTACATAAGATTCATTCGATACCGAGTCTGTATCACGTAATCAAGCTGGCACATGCATGGTCTGAAGCACGTGTTCAAGTACATAGAAATCATTCGGTGATCTGTACCACATACAAGATACGTGCACTCCCCGTACAGCCTTGTGTCTGGTGCAAATAATCCCACGTCGGTTTGTATTGTGTTAATTCCCCAGATAGTCTCTCCTTGCCAGCCTCCATACTCCACATCGCTGAGCGTCTCATTGCGTGGTAGAAAGACACACAGCTGTTGTTGAGGGGCTTTGATAAGCCGCACCTTCACGTAGCGAACCAGTGTGTTATCAAACAGTTATGTATCTGTTATACATATTGTGCGAGGGGTCTATGCGGTCTGTTGCTTAACATATTGATGCATCTGGTGTATATGATCTGTGACTGCACTACCGCGCGGGACACTGCTCTAACCATCACGACAGTGAATGACACGCCCCTTCCTATTGTGTTCGAATGCATGAAAATGTCTAAGCTTCCACATATTTCCAAACGTGTCGTCTTTCCCGACTTGCTAATACCGCCCCAAGCCATCAATATCACACAAGGAGAGCACTTATGAACCGTTCTTTTCACATTTTCTACCTTGCGCCATTTTTGTCTTGTAATTTAGAGCCGTCTGTAGAATTTGCAAATCGTCGTCTCTATTTTGGTCATTTCGTTTCTCTAATACAAGACAAATCTTATGGATAACAACTTCTTGATATATTTTTCACAACATATCTGGACTAGTTCTTGCCCCTTCTTCATGCGGATAATGGTGAGAGTGAACAGTACAGTATATATATATATATATATATATATAGATGTACCTTTCTCTCCTCTGCATATTATCTCTCGTCATGAACGGATGTTTTGTCTCGCGCTTCAAACTTCCCCGTGTTTCCCCGATTCCTTCTAAATGTCGATGCAGATACCTGATTGGAGGCTAACGATGCAGCCCCTTCACCAGTCTGGATGACCCACCAGTTTAGGTGCACCGCCGCCGGACGTGTCAGTCCCCGCTAGTCATTCCGTCCCAAATTACGTGGCAGCCCACTTCCGCTGCAATCGAAACCCTGCCTCAAACATGTTGACAGTTCTGTAGATTGTAGAATGTAGTTTTGGTAATTGATGCAGTTACAAACTTATCAACAGCCTGGTTCATACAAAGAAAGAAGACGATATTTGTCGTGAACGTCAGCCATCACCATCGGCACTTTGCTGTTACCTGCTGAAGCGTCCCCATGTGACAGCCTAGTTACAAGGGAGATAACCGCCACATAGCACATGGCAGCATAATGCTACGGTCAATAGTATTGCTGCAAAACACATAGATGTGAGATACTTTTTTTTATTACTTGTATGACTTATAGGAGAATTAGTCATCGATAAAGCCGCACGGTTTTCCCGTCCATGGCTATAATTCAACCTTTCTGGAGTCAGCTATCTTTTCATGAAGTACGTGGGAGTGTTATTGATGGGATGAATATCTCATGAATGTTTGTGGTAATTGCACTAACATTTCTGTGGGTGAAACAGTCGATAATTAAATCATTTATTTCGTCGGCACAACAACCTTATAGCAATACACAATATATATTGAAGGAAACAAATAACGGTGCACAACATTAAATTGCATAAAATTAAAGTTATTTGAAAGGTTATAAAAGGTAGCCCTTAAAAACATGTAGCAAAACATTTTGCATGAACTTTAATGTTATTTATTGCCCGTGGCACAATGAACAAACTCACTTTTTGAAATCTTTTTGACACCTGACGTTCATAGACCTGAAAATGAAAATTGAAGAACGGTCGATTATTCTCTAGCCTCTGAATGTTGTTAAAAACGCGTTAATTCCAACCTTAACTGCGCGTTCGTCATAACACGACTTACAGAAAATCATTGTCTCCGCGCCGTGGGTATGTTGGTGACTGGAATGGTCCAAAATGAAGTGGCCAGACATTTTGGTGTCCATCGAAACACGATCTCTATGGAGACGTTTCCATCATAATGGAAACACGAGAGATTTGCTTCGTCCATGCGTGACGTCACGTCAGCAAGACAACCACATTCGGCTGTCCCATCTAAGGAATCGATTCCAAACTGCCAATTTGACTGCTCGGACCATTCATGGCTTACATCCAATAAGTTCCACGAATGCACGGCATCGACTGAGGGAGCACAACATACATCCCTGACGGCATGTAATACGTCCAAGTTTGTTCCAACGCCACCGATAGGCACGTCTTTCCTGGTGCAGACAGCATCTAGAGGACAGGAGACAAGAATGGAATGTTTTTTTGTTCACTGACGAAGCAAGATTTCATCTGGACCGCTATGATAGCAGGGCAAGGGTGTACAGACGGCGAGGTGAACGTTATGCTGACCTGTGCGTTTTTTAACGTCGACAGTTTGATTGTGAAAGCGTTATGATATGGGGGAGCATCACATCTCATGGTATGACACAACTTGTCATTGTCAATGGCAATCTGACAGGTCTGCGATACAGGGATGAGATCAGTGGGCCTCACGTGCAGCCGTACAATCAAGGACGCAACTTCACGATTCAGCAAGATAATGCTCGTCAACATGTCGCTCGTGTTTTGACAGATTTCGTCGTTCAGTTGGTTTTAACGCATCTTTGAAATGTGGCCCAGTCATACGCCAAAGTGTGGCAGGAAAGGTAAAAGGGATGCAGGTCTTGTTTTTCTTTCCGGGTATGGTGCTGACAAATCTAAAAACATAACTGGGGAAAACAGGCTTGGAACCAACAACAGATTCCTGGCGTTACCAAGGGACGTTACTGTGCACAGCGAATTGCAGGATTTTAACGACACATAATATACAGCTTCACATCTAATTACGACACAGAATATATATTTAGATATCCAGAAATATAATATCCAGCAGTATATTGTTATACACTATTTAACAATGCCACATAATACATAGTGATATATCTGACAATAAACAAAATATATATAAAACGATGACACAGATTGTAATAACATATTTAACACTGACACAAAAATATAGCCATATATCCCACAACTATAGATGTATTCACCATAATACTGACTGCGCCTTTATTTTGGTCTGAAGGAGAACCGTGTAGTCAGCATAATTGACGAATTAAGACGTCAGATGTTTAGATACTGGACCTTCTACACAGCTGGGGTGGTTCTTTCTCTTTTCACCACTTGGGCAATGAATATAGCTTGTCAACAGTATCAAAATGATACCGAAAATGTAATATCTTTTCCACACATACGAATAAATGAATCCTACCTCTATTTTATGCAAGACGCACTTGTCCTTTTCGCCAACACCTGATGTCAAAACCGATTTTCAGTGCTTTTCGTATAATTTTCCCAGCTTGTTTTCCCCTTTACACCAAACAGAAGTTGTATCTGGGGATAGTCGAGGCAGGGTATGCTTTTGCACTGACGTTCTGTATGATATGTCCAGAATGAGAGCATTTGCGTAAAGAATATCTGTACCCTTATGTGTACAGAACACCAAATATTGCAAGTTAAATCGAATTAATGTCTACTGAAATTATGCAACGTGTAATAAGACGTGTTACAGCACATGCATCTCCTGCAATGAATTATAGAAATGCTATTCAAAGGATTACCTTCATGTCAAGTGGCCATGTCACCGTCATGACACTATAGGCCAGAGGCCTTTCAGCATTTGTAAATAAGGACTGAGAGATTGATTCAAAGTCTGTTCACACAGCAAACATTTGTGAAATTGACACCAATCCTGTCACGTATCGCAAAGGAATAATGGAATTTTCTTTTGATAACAAAATAAGCCCTAGGCAAATTCACAACGCTTTAGCAAGTGTAGATTTCTTCAGTTTGAAAATGTGTTGAATCTGGGTTCCTCGCTATTTTTCTAAACATATAATGTACAGAATGTATCGTTACATCATTTCATTTCAGAGACTTAACAACGGTTAAATCCATGTAAGTTAACCTCCTTTTATAGTCTGCATTCCAGTTTTGAATAACTCCGATAAGAAGACTTATCGACACAGCTCTATTTTCATTATTCTGAATCTGAAGTTAATTTGAATATAACCCCGTGAATCGGAAACCCACTGCTTGGTAAGGCCGATTCAAATCTGGCCATTGTTGCGTGTCGACGTGAAACAATAAGTTAACCAAGAAACCTTTACTCAAAAGAAGTCAGTGTTGAACCAACAAACAGCAAATGATGTTATATAGTTAACAACTGTAGTGTGAAATAAACTAGGTTTAAAATCCAAAACAAATTACTACAAAGTAATTGCAATGACACTACACTAGTCTATGTAACAATAAAGCCGGTGACATTCACCTGGCACCAAAAGTTGTCCAAGCTTAAAAAATGTGCTTAGGCTGGATTTACGGGTTGAAAAGATGAGTTTCACACACAAACAGTTTTGATGCAACGTGAGATTATAGATACAAACGTTTTCCCAGTCATAGCCTAAGCTGGATTAATATACAGCTGTTCGAAAATATTGCTGATTACAAATGACTCCAAACGCTTCAACATATAGTACCTTCCACATCAGTGCTTACCTCTGATGGTGGCAAATTCCTGACATCTACCTATTCTTAAAACATAATGATACGAACGTCAAATAATTCTTAACAAAAACAATGTAATACACTCACAACGTTGTTAAACAATACATTTCACTGCCAATGACAGTGAGTACCGTTGAAAGTCGTATATACACGAGGTAATATCAGATTAAATTTGATAACAAGCTTAAGCTCACAATGTGTTTCATAGCTTCATGCGCTTGAAAGGTAAATAGTTGATATTAGTCACTGTTTGTTTCATATGAAGATCAGAGGATATGTCGAAAATATCTGTAGCTGCCAGTTACATTTCATTGACGTTTTCTTCTTTCCTAAACTCAAAAGGTGGCTTCAGAGAACTTGGGATTTCAAGGTTTTATCACGTCAATTGACTATTAACTGAAGTCAATGTTTCATCGCTTAGATTGAGTTGGAGTTTTGAAAATATATCGTAGGTTTTCTGAGAAGGTTCGTCTATTGCGAAGAAGGGATTCCTTGTGTCTTGTTGTAAGCGAGTCTTCCGCTGGACGCCACTGAGAGTTTGGTCGAAGGGACAACATCAGTCTCTGGAACAGTATGTTGCATTTAACTCAGTATTTAGGATAGTTCGAATAATGTTTAACCAGTTTTTCCCTTCATACCTTAGATCCCGGAGAACGCACCTTGTGACATTTACCAGTTTATCCTACAATACCTAGGATCCCTTGGAACATACCTTATGACATGTATTATTTGACTTGCCTTGCGTGTTTCAGTTTCAGTTTTATTCTTGTAATATGAGGGCATGTGTGTTATTTACCTGTTGTAATGACCCGTGTTGTTTAATCAAAGCCTTTATCATGACAATGATCACTGGAACAACTGGAAGGAGGGCAACCATCCATCCGACCACGGTAGCCTCAACAGGGTAGGTGTACTTCCCGTAGGTGGGAGACTCGTATTGGGAGATCGTCGTGATGAACACAATCTATAATGAATAAAAGTTAAAGTGAAAAATATCACCCTGTTCCTTGTACCTTGCTCTGAATGTTGTTACACATCTTGTGAACTAAAAACACCATTCTCGCTAAAAGGGGACGACATTCGGTTCCGTTACGAGCCCCAACAAATATGTTTTATGTCAGTGAAATCCCATTATAACCTTTACAAAAGTAATTCGAATTCTCAGCTAGAAAAGTTCAGCTTTAACAGTTTATATTAGCATTAATGTGTTTGGAACTTTAAGGAGACAATGTCGTTGAAAAAACGAAAGTTACCGACGTCACCCCAAAAGACACAAATTGGTTACATCACCACAAATAGTAGCAAGGATACACTACAATTACAAGTGCAAGTTCTCCAAAACCCAAAGTTTCAAAAACATTCTGTTTTAAAACTGCATTAGAATTATTGCACGATCAGGATTGAACTTTTGTATCTGTTTCAGAGCAAATCTCAAAGGCACCAACCAGGACATATATCTAGATCACAGTCTATATCAAACACATCTATAACTTACAATAAATAGCCAATGTAATAATGAAGACTGATATGATGGAAGTGTCATTGATGCCTTTAACCCATCCAATAAACTGAGAAATATGCAAATGTGGAATCACAAAAGGGTATTTTCCTGTGTGCACATGCATAAATATAAAATCACATTGGTTTGCAAATAATACGATTTGTTTTTATAAATGTCACATTTTGACGTAGTGACCCAAAAAAACATGACTGTCTTGAGTCTAAAATATTACACAGAAACATGTTAATTCGTGCTATCTATAACCGATGGAAACACTACTCCAGCACTTGGAGAGTTTGGTAATGATTTAACTTACCACCAGTATTGCCGGGGTGATGATACCCCACAGGACTTTGACCAGAACAGGAAGAGGACGTCCACTCATCATATCAATGTCCTCATTCAGCTGCTTGATACCTTCAGCAAACAAAGTCATCTTATGGTGATAGCCAGTGAAAAACCGGGTCACTTTTTTCCCAATGGATTATACAGACTAAGCACTTCCTAATAACTATAGATATTTAAAAACATATAACGTCCAAAGGTAATTTTTACAAACATACGAAGGTGAACAGGTACACATATACACTCAAAAAAAAACAACAAACAACAACAAGAAAAGTAAACAGAAAAAAAAGAAACGCATATGTGATTTTGAGAATATTAGACTCATTTAGCTGCGGTGAAACCAATACAAACATATTATTTCTTTCCAACACGTCATCTTTGTGTGATTGTAAACAGCTTCAGCGCCAAAACGTGGCAATTGTAGCTTTCCCCCTTGTTTTAGAAGCGTTGTATTCGCCAAAATGTCACCAAGAAAACATGTAAAGCAAATGCACGTGCAAGTAAGCATAAAACCATGCAGTATCGATCACTAATAAAAGACAAACGTTGTGTTTAATGTTGTCATTCGTTTTTGCCTGGAAAAGAGGAAATCATCATGCCACGACTGAGTGGCGCGAATCAAAACATCGCCACAGGCCGTCTTGAAGCTGAGGAGTCGCACTCTGTAGCTGATGTGTGAATTGAAATTACATGAAAGAATTGCTCTTAAACTAATGCAACAAATTCATCTAGAATGGCTTATGTGTTTGTTTGTTTTTGAAGAGTGTATATACACAAACATAATGGCGTGATGACTGTTTGAAGTACAGAGTTACATTTATCATCAGATTTCGTGAGTTTGTTTGTGTTTTATTTTTACTAAAAGAAGTGGAAGCACAGAGTTGGTATAGCATGTCCGATATATTGCTTGAACGTTTTAGAGTGAGGCAAAACAAGATATACTCTTACATCTAAACTAGATGTTCTCATGCGAGGACAACTACCTATCTTGATTATCCAATTGGGAACACATGGACATTTTCTTTTTACAGTAACAATTTCTATTTACTTAGCATAACTGCACACATGCAGATGTACATAGTGTTACCGTAGAGCCAGACAGCAGCCACACACTCCAGGGTACAGAAGAGGTACAGCGACAGTGCTGCCAGGTACCAATCCAGTAACTGCATGATGTATGGGCCACCCTGAACGTGTTAACAAGAGTAACTAGTAAAGAGGGATTTATCAAAGTGTGAAAATGACAAAATCTCCACCTTCGACTGTAAGAAAAGACAAATGACTTCAAATGTCCAAATATCATTTTCCCGTGCTTTTTAAAAAAGATATTCCAGACGCTAAAGTTTTTTATGTCCGTATTTGACAACATATGAAGTACAATCGAGCATGCTTGATTTACAAAGGGTTTGATCATGCGTCTTAAGCCGAAACGTTGCTCGATCAGGGTTTCAACACTCAATGCCTTGGTAAATCCTTGACAATGACTTCTGTCAGAGATGTAGAAGATAAGACAAACTTGATGCATTAGTACAACAGACTTATGGAAATAATGATGTTGCTTTATTCAACAGAATCGAGATAGGCTTTGAGTGACTAGAAACATACTGTCACTGTGAAAACTTTCCACCATTTCCTTCCTTTTGATGTTCAATAATACTGATTCACATGAAACACACACAAACAATACGTGTTTCAAAGCCAAATCTACCAGCTAAGCATCAGTTGCGCTGTGTGTCGAGCTGTCAGAGTCGAGCACATATTGACACTCTGTATATCTTACCTGTGTACATATGATGATACCAGCAGCAAAAGCAATGACACATATCACCCCTGTGACCCAGCCTCGTCTGTGTCTGAGTGTTGTGGGGAACTGATCTATGACCGTTGTTGATAGGAGCTCAACAAACATAAACTGAAATTCAATAAAATGGATTATTCCGTCTTCAGCGTAATCAGGCTTGGTTGAGGCATCACTTGTCCTTCGTTTACAAAACTCTTCAGGAAAAGGCAAGCCAGTTGAGTTTATATTTTGATACAGGCTCTAATGTGCTTTAATAACGTATTGTCTCACCTGAGAGTCTAATCCTACTGTCAGCAACATCAGGAAAAACAGGAAGGACCACAGCTGTGGAAGTGGAAGATGTGACAGGGCTTCTGGGTAGGCAACGAATCCTAATCCTGGGCCTTTTAAAAGGTGATGTTAAATTCGTCAGTCACGGGTTCATGTATTGTCATATCCAACCTTATAGTATCCTCAGTTAGCACAATGGGAACGATTACACCATGCCATTTCAGAAAGTGGTCAAATGTAACATATGTTATATTTGGGATTACACCTTCTGTACTTTACTAAGAAAGTGTAATCCCAAACATAAGATATGTTACACAATGGGAACATTGCTATATTCTTTGAGCAGTTCCCAAAAGCATATTTACATTGTAAGGAAATGCAGATACAATTCACCAGTATCTTTTCTTAATACTCTCACCCGATGACACGACTTCAAATATTGGGACACCGATCCTTTCAGCCATAACACCCAAGATGGCAAACGTGACAAATCCAGCGAATATGCTCGTTCCTTCAGATACAGTGCACAGAATAACAGCATCCCTGAATATCAAGAGCAGATGCTGAGTTTGATGAATACCATAACACACATGTACATGGTAAATCAGACAGTATGATTCTACGTATTATCAAAATAGGTACGTATAGGGCTAAGTTAGAGCGAGTTTGTTTAACGGCACTGTGTACAGTGACGCCTCGGGTAATCGTGTACAATGTTCCGATGTGTAGACGTGCTCTCGAGTAGCTCTGTAGACTCTAGACTCATCACCTTAAAGTGGGCTCCCGGAACTTGTTGTAGCTGGATGCTGTCATGATAATCCCCCAGCCTGGACCAAGACTGTAAAACACCTGGATACACGCCTCAGACCACACCTGTGTAAATACACCAGTCGCGTTAAATCATTTTGAAATAACTTTGCATTTATGACATGGACCTATGTTTTTCGATATTTGCTAAAATGTCTCATCTTGAGACCTTTACTCTCATGTCTGCGCTTGTAAGTAACTTGGTCCCTCTAAGGAAAATGATACAAAGCTTGCTTGGTTTAGCTAAACCCCGCATGCAATTTAGTTTAATACCTTTCAGGCATATGTGGAAACGAGAATCAAAATGCAACATACACATGGAACCTAATTAAGCATCCCCTGTTTCAGAATATTGATATGAGGTCAGAACTCTATACTTCTAGGAGGGTCGTTAAGCTTGATTATCTGATGGAAGATTGAATACTTGACTACAGAAACACAACGCAATGTAAGCAATATGGTAATGTGTTCTCTGTACGTGAGAAATGTCAGCACTGACGATCAGATCAGGCCTCCTTGCAGGCCAAGGGAGAGTCTCAAAAGCAGTTTTCCACAGGAGTGAGTTTTAGTGAGTGAGTTTAGTTTTACGCCGCTCTCAGCAATATTCCACAGGAACTCTCCCACAGCACGGGAACGATGTGGCCTAGCGGTGTCGTCCATTAATATGGGGAGGGTAATCAATAGGTGGTTAAATGTCAAGCAACTTGATCAAGAATGTCCGTGATGTAACGCTGGCCATTAAGATTTCTCCGTACAGTCATGGGACTGTAAAATTATTGTCCTCTTCAGTAGGTATGTCAGTCCCAAAACATTCAAAGTAAATGTAGACTGATCCCTTTTTAAACCGTAGAATATGTGTGTTTTTAATGTATGGCTAGATTTGTCTAAATTGCTGTCAGCTGAAGGGATGGTGTAAATCCAGCTAGGGTCCATGCAGAAAGCTTTGTACTGTAAGTCGCCATGATCTCTAGTATGGTGACCTACCTTCAGTTGTTGTTAATGTATGGCCTGTTTTTATATTGTGTTGTCTTCTATAGTTAAACTGTTTTAAATATACGTACTATTTTTACATTCATATCAATGATAGTCTAGTTGACGTTTACTGTCCTATGCTGACAGGTTTATTTTATAATTTACCAATATTTATAATAGCATTTTTATGACTTGCTTTTAGTCACGATATGGCTGAAATATTGCCGAAGTGGTATCATGGACATATCATCATCATCATCATCATCGATAGCTACACAGCTATGACAACTATAAAATGGGTCAATGTTAAAGACGATGTTTAATAATCTAGTAAAATACAACTTTTCTTTCTAACATATAACATTTTGTCGAATCACTGACAATTTAAGATGATTAAGAAGTAATTGTATACGCATTTTGTGTGCATTACATACCTTCCAGCCGGTCAAATTATTAAATGATGGGTAAGAAAATGTACATCACACACCTGCCCTGTGAGGAGTTTGCTGAAGTCAGGTTTAAGGTAGTACAGAATCCCATCAACAGCTCCTGGTAGCATGCAGGTTCTAATGAAGATCGCCACCAGCAGTATGTAAGGTAGCAATGCCGTCACATAAACAACCTATATAAACAGATGCAATTTGTTTCCATGTTTTTATATCGTAACACCAGCAATACAACTATGCAGAAATGTCACCAGTTAATTGTAACAGGAATATTTGTTAACAAATTCAATTTGATACCTTTCACATAAGTGAATAAACCAACACGGTAATGAAGATCTCATATGTACTCTTATCGGTCAGGTCGAAATAACTCTTACATACTGAGAAACGTACCTTCACTTGAAATGTGAGGATCATGCAGTTTAAGATATGTTTGAGATAAATTTACCATGTGAAGGTCATGTGGTTCAAGGTATGTTTGAGATACATTTACCATGTGATGGTTCAAGGTATGTTTGAGATACATTTACCATGTGAAGGTCATGTGACTAAAAGTGTGTTTGAATGCGTATTTGAGATATATTTGCCAGATGAAGATCATGTGGTTCAAGGTGTGTTGAGATACATTTGCCATGTGAAGATCATTTGTTTCAAGGTGTCGTGACAGGGAGAATATGTTGCCAATTTGGAGATCGTGTGGTATGTCTTGAATGAGAGTCAAGGTTGCCATTTGAATATCATGCTGTTCACGACGTCGCGTTGGAGGGAACGTGCAGTTTAAAGCATCACTTTACGACAGAAGTCTGTAAACAGTTCAGTCTAAAGCAAATAATCCAGTAATGGATATCAAGTCCACTACTCAACACAACAGGGAATCAATAACATGCTGTCACTAAGCCGATGCATTCAGTCGCTTCTTCCAACAAGCATAGGATGCCGGTCACTTCTGTTCTAGTGTGTGTTGTAGTCATATGAAGGGCCAAACCTGATTATAGTGTCCTACCTTCCCACTAGCTTTGATTCCTCGAAACAGACTCAGAAAAATCAACACATACGACGCAAATAAACATCCCACGATATGCCACTGCATGGATCCGATTTCGTGTATTCCGCTTGATATATTGAGGACGTTGTACCTGAAAGATGGTATTTCAGTTTCAAAGTATAGATTTTAACATTTAGTACATTCTATGGTATGTGCAATTTAAGATGTGTTTACCATACATTTACCATGTGGAAATCATTTGGTTGAAGATCTCTTCGCTGGGAAAACATGTTGCCATTTGATTCGCTGCCATTATTTCGTGTTTAAGTAAGTTGTAAATGAGAAAGAGTTCTTTGAATACACAACATTATTTAATACAACAATGTCAATATGCTCTTGAAATATGAGGGGCGGTGGGGTAGCCTAGTGTTTAAAGCTTTTGCTCGTCAAGCCGAAGATCCGGGTTCTATTTCTCCCATGGGTACAATGTGCGTAGCCCAATTCTGGTGTCCCTACTGTCATATTGCTGGAATATTGCTAAACGCGAAGTAAAACTAAACTCTGTCACTCTCCTTTGAAATATGATACACTGTTATTGCCATTTGACAGTTCCAGTTATCTGAATTTACCATTTCGTCTTCACTTAAATATAGAGGAAGTTTTGCAATACGTTTAAAAGTAGAATCAATGCACACATATGGCAAGTTTTGCAAATATCAATACGTCCCTCGACACAGTCCCAATAATGTTAGATAAATTCACTGATTAGACATACATGGCTCAGTATCAAACCATTCGCCAGAGCATGAGGACACACTGCATGCTTCAACAGAAGAACATTTACTGAACATTAAGACACCCACAATGGGATATTTACACAGCTGGATGAGAACAGACAAGAACTGGGGTGTTCTCCGGGAAGTTTGCTGAGCATGCAGACTTACAACCGAGGGGACTGCCATTAGTTTATATGTTTTTTCATGCACAACATCTACACATCATAACTCACTGGTAGAACTCCTCCACAGCGGTGTGTGATAAGGTCTTGTTTCGCCATAGTTCTGCAATGCTGGTGCCAGTGCCATTGATCCCTGCAGCGTCCGTGTAGTTCAGGACGTGTGTAGAGTTCATAGAATGCCCTTTCAAAGTGGAGATGTCCTCCACACATAGGTCTGTGTTCCACCAGTTACCACATGTTGTCCAGGGTAGGACACTGGAGCAAGACTTCACCATGTAGTAGATTGGCCAGGCCAGAAGGATTTGATAATAGGGTTGACAAATTGCAACTTGGATGACCGTTCCAATACCGATACCTTCAAAGGTGAATAATCCAGATGTGCAGGGATGCCAAACAAGTATTGAACAATGAACATTACTGACCATAAGTTCATAAACAGACTGAATACATGGACGTTGGTATTTTGTTGGTTATAAAGATGTAGTTAGCGTCCTGTATTTTGTCATTACATACATATGGCATTGCTCTACTTGATAGTAAAACACGAAGGTTTACTTTGGACATCCGTTAACCGCTATAAACATAAGGGTACTCAGATTGTAGTTATGAATGGGACAAAGCTGACATACCTTTGAGGAGAGGGCAGAAATTCCATGTCTGTACAGCGCCTTTGCCTGAGAACTGAGCCATAGACGCCTCAAGGTAAAACACGGGCAAGGCGGCGATGACGATGAATATCAGGAAAGGGATCAGGAAAGCACCTGCACAGAACATTAACCCAAAGTAATGGTTTAAAACATATACATAATGTTGACAGATGTGTCATCTGATTTACCATCGATATTGGTGCTATTCATCACTTTAGAACTATGCCGTCCACAGCTTGCCAAAGATACTTCTTATTTTAGTGATTAGTTAGAGACATTGGTCAAAGTGGGCCACTGACAATGAAATAATAATAGATCTTGGTAATAATTAAGAAAGGAGAAAGGAATGATAACTTTTGTTTTTGTGTTTATTTGCTGTTTGGGGAGAAATGTGATATGGTTTCCTGTAGGTGTAACTGTTCGTGTGCCAGTGATAATCCAGATGTGTAACTGTTCGTGTGCCAGTGATAATCAAGATGTGTAACTGCTCGTGTGCCAGTGATAATCCAGATGTGTAACTGTTCGTGTGCCAGTGTGATAATCCAGTGTAACTGTTCGTGTGCAGTGATGTGTAACTGTTCGTGTGCCAGTGATAATCCAGATGTGTAACTGTTCGTGTGCCAGTGATAATCCAGATGTGTGTAACTGTTCGTGTGCAGTGATAATCCAGATGTGTAACTGCTCGTGTACCCAGTGATAATCAGATGTGTAACTGCTCGTGTACCAGTGATAATCAAGATGTGTAACTGCTCCAGTGTAATCCAGTGATAATCAGATGTGTAACTGCTCGTGTACCAGTGATAATCCAGATGTGTAACTGCTCGTGTAATCAGTGATATTCAAGATGTGTAACTGCTCGTGTACCAGTGATAATCCAGATGTGTAACGTGGTGATAATCAAGATGTGTAACCAGTGATAATCCAGATGTGTAACTGTGATCGTGTAACTGGTCGTGTGCCAGTGATAATCCAGATGTGTAACTGCTCGTGTAATCCAGATGTAACTGTTCGTGTGCCAGTGATAATCAAGATGTGTAACTGTTCGTGTGCCAGTGATAATCCAGATGTGTAACTGTTCGTGTGCCAGTGATAATCCAGATGTGTAACTGTTCGTGTGCCAGTGATAATCAAGATGTGTAACTGTTCGTGCCAGTGATAATCCAGATGTGTAACTGCTCAAGATGTGAAATCAGATGTGTAACTGCTTATTATAATCCAGTGATAATCCAGATGTGTAACTGCTCGTGTACCAGTGATAATCCAGATGTGTAACTGCTCGTGTACCAGTGATAATCAAGATGTGTAACTGCTCGTGTGCCAGTGATAATCAAGATGTGTAACTGCTCGTGTACCAGTGATAATCCAGATGTGTAACTGCTCGTGTGCCTGTTCGTGTGATAATCCAGATGTGTAACTGCTCGTGTGATAATCAGATGATGTTCGTGTCCAGATAATCCAGATGTGTAACTGCTCGTGTACCAGTGATAATCCAGATGTGTAACTGCTCGTGTACCAGTGATAATCCAGATGTGTAACTGCTCGTGTACCAGTGATAATCCAGATGTGTAACTGCTCGTGTACCAGTGATAATCCAGATGTGTAACTGCTCGTGTACCAGTGATAATCCAGATGTGTAACTGTGCTCGTGTACCAGTGATAATCCAGATGTGTACCAGTGATAATCAAGATGTGTAACTGTTCGTGTGCCAGTGATAATCAAGATGTGTAACTGCTCGTGTACCAGTGATAATCCAGATGTGTAACTGCTCGTGTACCAGTGATAATCCAGATGTGTAACTGCTCGTGTACCAGTGATAATCAAGATGTGTAACTGCTCGTGTACCAGTGATAATCCAGATGTGTAACTGCTCGTGTACCAGTGATAATCCAGATGTGTAACTGCTCGTGATACCAGTGTGTACCAGTGATAATCCAGATGTGTAACTGCTCGTGTACCAGTGATAATCCAGATGTGTAACTGCTCGTGTACCAGTGATAATCCAGATGTGTAACTGCTCGTGTACCAGTGATAATCAAGATGTGTAACTGCTCGTGTACCAGTGATAATCCAGATGTGTAACTGCTCGTGTACCAGTGATAATCCAGATGTGTAACTGCTCGTGTGCCAGTGATAATCCAGATGTGTAACTGCTCGTGTGCGAGTGATAATCCAGATGTGTAACTGCTCGTGTACCAGTGATAATCCAGATGTGTAACTGTTCGTGTGCCAGTGATAATCCAGATGTGTAACTGCTCGTGTGCCAGTGATAATCCAGATGTGTAACTGCTCGTGTGCCAGTGATAATCCAGATGTGTAACTGTTCGTGTGCCAGTGATAATCCAGATGTGTAACTGTTCGTGTGCCAGTGATAATCCAGATGTGTAACTGTTCGTGTACCAGTGATAATCCAGATGTGTAACTGTTCGTGTGCCTGTGATAATCCAGATGTGTAACTGTTCGTGTGCCAGTGATAATCAAGACCGATGCACTTTGTTTGGCGGCCTCTTTCATGTAGAAAACAGTTAGCCCTCCCACAACAACAACTAATAAATGGTTTGACTCTGAATGTGAAAGATTAAAATCAGACCGATATAGAGCTCGGTTTAGGAAATCGAAAGATAAAGAATCATACGATCAATATTGCGCTAAAAGAAATAAATATAACTCTATTTGTAAGAAAAACGCCTTAATTATTATAAAGAAAAGCAGAGAAAAATAGATAACAGTATATCTGATTCAAAACAATTTGGTATGAACTCAAATGAACCTGAATACTAGACATGAAGCTGAAAACAATATCGAAATGAACGACTGGCTAGAACACTTTCGGACACTCTTTATCTCTTTACACAATGAAAATGACGATGTAACATGTGCTAATTTGAATGAAAACCCATCAGATCCGAATTCAGAGCTTACCTAGGTAAAACATGATCAAATGGTATTCGATTCCCGGATATTCGCTGCGTATTAATACATTCAAACATCGCTCACACCATTGTATTGTTACGTCGTCAGCTGTGATGACGTCATTCAAATCATATTGTGACGAAAAGTCGGAATGACGTCACAAATGAGCAGTTCAGATGGTACCATGGGAGACAGCCGAAACGGCCGGCTGATGACATTTCACTGCGGTACCCGTACTCGATGTCAATGAGTGCAGACACAAAAACGTGTGTGGACCTTTTGGTTTACTTTTGTGTTTACAATGTCGATAAACATCATGTGTTGGCCAATTTCCGGGAGGTATTGAGTATTTGAAGCCTGGGAATATTTCATTTGAAACCTCCGGCTGACGCCGCCGGTTCCAAATGAATTCCCGTGCTTCAAATACTCAATACCACCCGAATTACATTGCACAACATGATCCTTATCTCCTAATTCCCCAATTACTAGAGATGAAATCTTAGATAACATTAACCAATTGTAATAAATCACCAGGAATTGATAAAACAATATCTGATTTTTTAAATACTCAGCAGATCTTATCGTCCCGTACTTAGAATTGCTCTGTAATTTGATATTAGAAACTGGTACGTTCCCCAGTTGTTGGACAATTGACATAATAGTTCCTATCCATAAACAAGGTAATATAAATAATCCAAATAATTACAGAGGCATAACACTACTGAGCATATTTAGTAAAGCTTTCACCTCTATGATAAATAAAAGACTTGTAAACTGGGGAGACTCAATGGATAAGATCAGCGAAGCGTAAGCTGGCTTCAGACAGGGATATACGACAGTAGATAATCTGTTTATACTACAAAGTATTATTCAAACGTATTTAAACTCTAAAGGGGGACATCCTGCGTATTATTTGTAGACTTTTCAAAAGCTTTTGATTCAGTGCAATGAAAAACGTTGGCTTCTATTTAATACCCACGGTCTCAGTGGTAAAATGAGTAAACTTTTATGCAATATGTATGAAAATGTTAAGGCCTGTATTAAAAGTAATCATAATTTTTCAGAAACATTTGACCTGCAACTTGATGTAAGACAAAGCTGTATACTAAACCCATTTCTATTTTCCTTTTTATAAATGTGTTAGCACGACAAGTCGAAATTAATTGTGTACACGGGATTCAACTCCATCCTGATATAGTTCATATTTCCCTATTGCTATTGGCAGATGACATTGTTTCGTTTTCAAGAACGATTAATGGCTTACAGAATCACATTAAACAACTTGAGAGTTACTGCGATAAATGGAAATAAACTGTAAATAGAGAAAAACGAAAATTGTTGTATTCAAAAATGGAGGCAAATTGTTTGGAAAGGAAAACTGGTTATATAAAGTTATGAAGCTGGAGTGTATTGGCTTTTATACATATTTGGGACTATATTTCACCAGTGGCCTGTCATGGACGAGGCATGTAAAATATGCAGCGTTACAGGGACACAGTTGAAAAGACATCAGTTGCAATTATGAAACAGTTGAGAGTACTTGGTAACTACCAACTCTTCATTCTTTAAAATATTTGATGCCAAAGTCAGTCCAATTGTATCATATGGGGAGCGAAATTTAGGGAATAACAAAATTTGATGAAATTGAAAAAATCCATTTATACGCATGCAAAAATTCCTCGGAGTTAAACTTAACACTATCAACGCAGTGATTTATGGTGAATGCGGTAGGTATCCAATGTACATTCTTCAGGCATTAAATTTATTAAGTACTGGCTAGAACTGCTGATTATGCCTTCTTCAAAACCCAAGAAGTGTTATAATATGATGTTGTTAAATGATAAAAGTGGACAAATAAACTGGGCAACTAATGTAAAAACTTTCTATATTCTATTGGTTTTGGAATTACATAGAATACACAATATGTCGAATCACCTACATTATTCATACAATCCTTAACGACAAGACTAAAAGATCTGTATATTCAAACATGGTGTGAAAGGATATCCTTGTCAAATAAATTCATGTATTATTCATTGTTTAAAAATGCCATAGTCCTTGAGTCATATCTATCCTATGTTAATGTTAAAAAGTTAAGAATAGCACTGGCACGATTCAGATGTTCTTCTCATGATTTGTTGATTGAAAGAGGCAGATATATGAATGTAAAAAGAAAAATAGAGTATATACACTTTGTAATTTAGACGAAATAGAAGATGAATTACATTTCCTCCTAATATGTCCATTTTATGACCGGTTGCGAACCAAATATATTAAGAGATATCACTATGTCCATCCAAATGTGATAAAATTCCCCTCACTGTTAAGTAGTAAAACCCAGTTCTTCTAATATTCTTCAAATATTTGAATGCTCATTTACTATGTTATGATTACCCGATCGAAATTCCTCTCAAATGTAACATAACTTTATGTACTATAGGCCTGTGGCCTTTTCAGTGCAAATAAAGATTATTATTATTCTTATCATTATTAGATATGAAACATGTAGGTGTAACTACTCGTGTGCCAGTGATAATCAAGATGTGTAACTGTTCGTGTGCCAGTGATAATCAAGATGTGAAACATGTAGGTGTAACTGCTCGTGTACCAGTGATAATCCAGATGTGTAACTGCTCGTGTGCCAGTGATAATCCAGATGTGTAACTGCTCGTGTGCCAGTGATATTCAGAATGTGAAACGTGTGTTACTGTTAGTGTGAAAGTGATAATTAATATGTGATACATGTTGTAACTGCTCGAGTGCCAGTGGTAATCAGTATGTGGCTCGTTTTCGTCAATTTATCTCAGAAGTGAGATGAGATGATGGACTTCAAGTTCCATACACTAAACAAACATGTATATTTTCAAGTTTTGGCTCAAAGTTCGCTCAAGATTATGATACAAAATCTTTCTTCATGATACCTATCTCACTTCTAGCCTCATGTAAGGGGGCAAAGTTTTCAATAAATGTCAACATGTCTTTATTATTAGGACAAAACACAAACCATTTCAGAGTACTTCAAGTGGAGAAATTTATTAAAATTAGTGTGTGCCATGTCTTTAAGCAATGAAAAATTCCGTCCTGTGATATTGGCAGTCGGTTTCGAAATGTGTCTTTTATGTTTCACATAGCTAGGAGGTTCATTGTAGGACATGAGTTCTTACCTCCACCATTCCTGTTGCAGAGGTAAGGGAATCTCCACAGATTACCAAATCCCACACAGTAGCCTGTCATGGACATGATGTAGTCCCACTGAGATGACCAGTGTTCTCTCTTGTGTCTCGCATCGCCGCCGGAAGTGTCCTTATTCATTTCCACCAGCCCTATCGCGATGGTTGATGGTGAAGTATCTTTGGGGCCATTATCAGTTAGATCAGAGTCTGACATCATCTGTAGAAAGGTAACATTATCCAGAATTCAAACATCAAAACTACATTATCGACATTACAAACTCGAAGAGCTTTGATGTCTTAAGGTACGAACCTCTCCAACAAAGCAAAATACTGACGACAACTTCAACACCACACACTGAGGAAGCACTGTAAACCTCACAGTCATCACGATGGAAATGCACAGCAAACTAAAGTACAAACCACTGCTGCTTTGTGACCATGGTTCAAAACGAAGAACAGCTAATGTTGTCTTTACCCTTTGTACATCACACTTGTACATGTTTGTTGCGGTATGGATGTGATCTTATACTTTGAATACACGTATGGCTTCAGCTTCCTGGTAGAGCTAGGCTCCACAGAGTGCCGAACAATTTCAGCATTTGATTAGGTTAATCTTATGTATCAAAGTATAATGTAGTATATCACAACAGCCGTACTTACCAAACCTTCTGTGAACTGCCAGGTAGAGTGGCTGCCAGGTAGAGACTCAGAGCCTAAGTGACGTACAGCCTGTTACTTCACTCGTTGTTTGTATGCATCAATGCACAACTTCATGAGTTATCGTTGATAAGGTAATATCTGACGTGAATAAACGAAATGAACAGATTCATCAGTGACGCGACCAGCAGATGTGTATTTCCGGATCGCCTGAAACAGAGTAACATCTGCAGCAAAATATCCTACCAATACATATCCCACTATTATGAAAGGAAAGTCCAGTATTGAAGTTTGGCTCACATGAATATTGTTGTGTTATCAACAGTGAAAGAAAATTATAATACAAGGCAAACTCAGAAAAGTCTCAGAATCAGACCTTCCATCAGGAATACCCCTCACAGTTACAGTGTCAGAGTTACCATCGGGAATACCCCACACAGTGACAGTGTCAGAGTTACCATCGGGAATATCTCTCAAGGTGACTGTTTCAGAGATACCATCAGGAATTCCCTCATCGTTACAATGTTCGCGTTGTCATTGCAAATGTCGAGGTGACAGTTTCGCAGTTACCATCGGGAATGCCACTTATATAGGAATTACCATGAAATCTTCAAAATTACCAGCAAGAACATCCCAGGTGGTCAAAGTGTCAAAGTTATCAACAGGAATATTCCTGATGGTGACAGTGTCAGAGTTCTTAGTTGATAGAGACCACGGTAGGAACTACTTTATCCCCCTACAGCCGATGTAAAACATGTACCATCTGTGAAAGTCTTGGTATGACGCGGTTGGGGATCAAAGCCACAACCCTTGGCTTTCTTGAAGACGCTCTGTGTCCAATAGAACGCGGAGATATTCCATAATGTCTTGTGTTCTTTGTGATATTAAGTACCTACTGATTACTCGGATAGCAATTGCGAATTACAGTCCTCACCACTGAGGTAAAACTTCATAAATGAAAGGGCTCTGACATACATAAACGTGACTTGTTTACTGCACCTGTAAAATGACAAGCGCCAAAGAAATCTAGTCACGTACACCTTGTTACGACATAAATTGTAATAACGCGGTAAAATGTAATAAACTGCGGCAAATTGTAATAACACTGCGGCAAATTGTAATAACACCGCGGTAAATTGTAATACCGCGGTAAATTGTAATAAAAAACGCGGTAAATTGTAATAACTGAACCGCGGTAAATTGTAATAAAAACTGCGGCAAATTGTAATAACTTAAACTGCGGCAAATTGTAATAACCCCTGCGGTAAAATATAATAAAATACATTTCATTGCCTATTATGCAAGGAAACATTTTACCGCGTTATTACAATTTACGTCGTAACACACCTGCATTCTGTGCGGTAGCATACATTGATCTATTTCTGTAATGGAAAACAAGAGTGCCACGGTACAGGAGCTCTTCTTTGTTCAGAGAATTTGCTACATGTGGTTTTAATAATATTGCAAAAGTCCCAACTCAGTTTTAGTTTTTCGCATATTTTGTGCTGAAGAAATAACGATGACGACTTAGTCCTCAGCAATTTTGCCATGATATCTATCACTCCAGCAAACCTCATATAAACAAGCAATTACACTATACTCAAAGACATAAGTTAACAACTCACACAGTCAGTGTTAAACTTTACTGCCGCGACTGAAACGTTATTACATGGAAAGAAAAATGTTTCAAGGTATAGTAACGATCATCACAGGGAAGATGGAAATGAGCCACAGCTCAAGAGGGGATGAAAGCAAGTTTACAAGGTCAGTGGAAAGTGTGTCCACGTTATGCATTGATGCAGAGACTGAAGCAAACATACAGCTCTCCATCTATCAATTTCCCCGAGTCCTTACATGTCGAACATATCCCAGGACGACTTTTGCACATCTTAAGTCGAAAGAACGTCTAGATATCACGCCTTTTTAGTGAACATTGCTACCCATCGTTCCCGAATATGTTATGCATCTTACAATTTCGAGCATTTCAAACAACCGCTAACTGCGTTTCTTCGACCATTTCGGTACACGCTTTCTCAAAATATTATTCACAAGATTGCAAATGAAAACATTCCATGTCACTTTTGCCTCTGAGTATATTTGTTTTCGCGAAAATGTGGTATCATCACTGAAAATCATAAACGCACAATGATGATATTGTCGGAGTCATAAATCGATGTTGCAGCTTCAACTAATATTGATTTACAATTATTCTAGTTCCACTACAATTAATTCGATTTTCATTATTGCTGAATATATATCAGCATGAAACATAACTGATCCTGATTGAAAATATTCAGTATTAGTGAGTATCAGATACATTAACAGTGCGGCAGCAAAATTGACCCCATTTCTACAGGCGGATAAGCTGTCTAGTGTGTATGATAATGATTAAAAAGCACAAGACTCCATCGAAATCACACAGTGGACTATAAGTAAAGGCACTATATCACACCACACATTTTCTCTCAATAATACTAACAATCAGCCTTCAGGGAAGCTACCATATAATATATTTAAAAAAATACTTATTTAGATTGCAATAATAAATTAAAAAAGTTCGAATGAATTAATGCAACGTTTCATTAAATCGACTCTAGCGCCTCATACCGGCTAAACATTATTTCAAGCGAACCCCATAGAGTAATGTCCCTTGGAGCACTCTTTACGAATATCCTACGCACAACTTGTGATTTCGATGTACTGAGCAATTGTTTACACTCCACATATGGCAAGTATCTCTGTTTGGAAGCCCTTCGCCTCGAAGTTTCAATTATCGATTCCATTCAAGTCGTGAGGGATAATAAGTATTTTATTGCATCAATAGGAAGCTAAAGTGACAGCATATGCCCCAATATATAATATAGGCCAACATATTGTTGAAAATGTGTGACATTGTGTCTTTAAGTGAGTGAGTAAGTTAATATTTATCGTCACTTCGGCAATATTTCAGCCATATCGTGACGGAACGTTTTATAATTATATTAGACATCAATAAAGTTAGAAATTAATAAACCTGTTGACGAAAAACAGTAAAACTACTAGTGTATCACAGATATCCATTTAAAACTAGCAATTAAATCTAAAATATTGAAACTATAAATGACAATACAATATAAAAACAGGCAATAGATAGCCAACGACTGAAGGTAGATACCCATACTAGGGACCATGGGGACTTACAGTACATTTGCTTCCTGCATGGTCCCTATCTGGATTTACACCATCCCCCTCAGCCGTTAGCAAGGTAGACAAATCTAGGCATACATTTAAAACCACACATATTCTACGATTAAAAATAGCGGAGAGTTTCAATTTACATTGAATGTTTGTGGACTGTGTACTTTACAGTACTTTAACCCCCCTTGAGGATACAGCCACTAACAATCGCAGTTATAAATTCAAACTTCCAATCATAAAATACCATTTATCTATTTACAAATCAGTTAACAAATCTAATTCTTTTAAAAATGCAATAATAAAATGAGAACTTATATGACTAAAAAGATCCTTCATATTTCGTGATTTGAAATAGATATCCCTTGTGATGGAATATTCAACACAGTCAAGCAGGAGGGATACAAAACGGAGGATCCTCACCTTTCAACAGGTACTAATGAGTATATCTTGTGTGGCCAGTACGACATCGTCGCATGATGACCTCTTCAAATCTGGACTGACAACCCTAGTAGGTGTAACAGATAGTTGGTTTGATTGCATGTAATTTATTTATACCTAACTGGGTGTCCCACTTCTTTTTGCATTAGATCATGGATGTAAGTTCTAATGCTAGCTTTGTAATCAGAGTATGGAATAAGAAGTGGTGTCACAGATTTGTTGAGTGCTGCCTTAGCAGCAAAATCGGCCATTCTGTTCCCGTAAATGCCAACGTGGCTGAGTAACCAACAGAACACGACGTCGTATTGGCCAGTAGCAAGATCATCATATAATTCAATAATTTCTATTAAAAGTGGATGTTTGCAAGACAGATTTTTGATCGCCTGAAGGCAAGAAAGAGAATCGGAAAAGATTAAGTATTGTTTATATTTACGGTGTTTATTAATATATTTTAAGGCTGTTAATATCCTTCTGCTGTAAAAATAGAGCTGTTATCAGGAAATCTAGAAGATGTTGTTTTGGAGCCAACGACAGTGGCACAAGCTACTGCACCTATCTCTTGGGGGGATTTATGGGGGATCTAGCCCGCACTTGTTTGGTGGGCGACAGGCTGTGTGCCCTAGAGCGGACTTTTTCGGACACGTCCATGTCCTCAAGTGATCCATATTTGTTGTACAATTTAATTCTATTTTCTGACCCTTTTGGGGCTCTGCCACTTAGTTTTTTCAAAGAATCTGGCTCTTTACCTTTGGTTTTAACGATTTCTGAAGATTTTAATGTTTATGGAGAAGATGACTCGTGATCAGAGGATGCTACTGATTGAATTTCAGACGTACAGGGAAGTAATTCTGGCGTTTGAACAAATATTGTAGATGAGAAAATCAAAGGAGATTCTGATGTTACCCAACTCAAATTGGTTTGACAGCTTGCAGAACATTTTGTTACTCTTGTCGTTGCTTCCGACGATGTTTTGGTTACAGAAGCATAGCTTTCTTAATTTTCAGAGCTTTGGACAAGTTTTTTGGCATCCGACAAACTAATGTTTCGGGTGAATTTTATTTTGTTGATCTCCCTTTGATGCTTCCAGACAGGACAGTCTTTAGAGAATGATGAGTGGTCACCAGTGCAGTTTGTACATTTCTTAACATTACTGTCACAATCTTCTGTTATATGTGTCTTTTCACCACAGTGAGTACACACAACAGACGATGTGCAAGTATTAACCCCATGACCGAACTTTTGGCATTTGAAGCATCTAAGAGGGTTTGGAATGTACATTTCAACGTTGATGTTACAGTATCCTGCTTTTAGTGATTTTGGAACATTTGGAGAAGAGAAAGAAAATAGATACGTATTTGTTTTTATAGTAGCATCATTTCTACGGGTTGTGGGCACCCGTGAAGAGCCACCTCCTCGTGGTGGGTGCTGGGTAACGCTAAGTGCTCTTCAACCCCCCGTTGTGGACCCGGGGGTATATATGGTCCACCAACCCGTTTGCCGTGGGTTGCGCCCCTGTGTCGGTGGAGGAAGGGAGTCTGGTGGTTGAGGGCACTGGTTCCAGGAACAGAGTTCCTTTGCCCAACACACCACTGTGC